AACACCACTAATCATTGGGGAAATGCAAATCAAAACCACATTCAGGTATCACCTCATGCCAGTTAAACTGGCTATTATAAAAAAGACAGAGAATAACAAATAGTGGTGAGGATGCAGAGAAAGGGGAATCCTTTTATACTTTTTTTGGGGGGGGTCTGTAAATTAGCCATTGTGGAAAAAATATAGAGTTTCTCAAACAACTACAGATAGAATTGCCATATGATCCACCAATCCCACTACTGGGTATATACCCAAAGGAATAAAAATAATCATTTCAAGGGACTATCTGCACTTGCTTGTTTGCTGCAGCTCTATTTGCAGTAGCCAATGTATGGAAACTACCTAAATGTCCATTGATGGAAGAATGGCTAAGAAAATCTGGTATATATACTCAATGGAATACTACTCAGCCATAAAAAAGAATAAAATTCTGCCATTCGTAGTAATGTGGATGAACTTGGAGAAAATTATGTTAAGTGAAAATAAAACATGCACAAAAAGAGAAATTCCACATGTCCTCACTCATAAGTGGGAGCTACAAAACAAACAAACAAATAAAAAGAAAGGAAGAAAGAAACAGCAATTACAATAATATATTGAACTTTCAAAAGGAGAGATCAGATCTGTGGTTAGTAGAGGTGGGAAAGGATGAAGGGGAGGTGGTTAGTGAGAAATTGGTTAAGGGTACAAATAATGATCATGCTTTTAAATAATGAATATACTAATTATCTTGATTTGATCATCACATATTGTACACAAGTATCAATAGTCAACTCTCTACCACACAAATATGTATAATCAATTATGCTTCAATTTTAAGAAAAGTTTCTGTAAAGCAAAATAAACACATACATCCATAGAACAAACAGACAACCTGCTGAATGGGAGAATATATTTGCAAACTGTACATCTGATAAGGGATTAATATCTCACAAACTCAAAGAAACTTAAAAATATAAAACAAGTAACAATTAAAAATGAGAAAAAAGACCTGAACAGACATTTGTCAAAAGAAGACACAGAAATGGCTAACAAGTATATGAAAAAATGCTCAACATCACTAATCATCAGGGAAGTGCAAATCAAAATCACAATGAGACAACATCTCACCCCAGTAAGAATGGCTATAATTAAAAAGACAAAAAAATAACATGCTGCTGAGGATGCAGAGAAAAGGGTACTCTTATACCCTGTTGGTAGGAACATAAATTAGTAAAATCATTATGGAAAACAGCATGGAGGTTCCTCAAAAAACTAAAAATGGAACTACCATGTGATCCAGCAATTCCACTGCTGGGTATTTATGCAAAGGAAACAAAATTAGCATACCAAAGAGATGTCTGCTCTCCCATGTTTATTGCAGCACTATTCACAATAGCCAAAATATGGAATCAACCTAGGGTGTCCATCAATAGATTAATAAAGAAATGTGTTATATTCACACAATGGGATGTTATTAATCCAAAAAAGGAATAAAATCTTGTCATTTGTGGCAACATAGATGAACCTGGAGGGCATTATATTAAGTGAAATAAGGCAGACACAGAAAGGCAAGTACTGCATGATCTCACTCATGTGGAATTTAAAAAACTGTTCTCAGACAGAGAGCAGAATGGTGGTTGCCAGAGGATGAGGAGGGTGTGGGGGAGGGGTGCAATGGTGATCAATCAGTCAATGGGTACAAAGCCACAGTTAGATAACAGAAATACGTTTTGGTGTTCAATTGCATAGTAGGATGACTAAAACTATATTGTACTGTATATTTAAAAATAGCTAGAAGAGATATTTTTGAATGTCTTCATTACAAAGGAATTATAAATGCTTAAGATGATGAATATACTAATTACTCTGACTTGATCATTACACAATGCATACATGTATCAAAATATCACATTGTGGGCCAACCCCATGGCTCACTCAGGGGAGTGTGGTGCTGGGAGTGCCAAGGCTGCGGGTTCGGATCCTATATAGGGATGGCTGGTGTGCTCACTGGCTGAGTGTGGTGCGGGAGACACCAAGCCAAGGGTTGCGATCCCCTTACCGGTCACACACACACACAAAAAAATCACATTGTACCCCATACATATGTATGGGACCGTGCCCTTTTTCTGAGCAAAAACAGATGGCCTAAACAGGAAAAAGGTGGCGCCCAAGGGAAGTTAAGAGGGAGGGCTAAGCATAGAGAGGCAAGGCATGTGCACATTTGACCTTTTCAAGGATTGGCCTAAGCTTGGAAATCCCCACCTGCTAAGCATATAAATATGATCTTTTGTGTTACAATAAACGGAACTGCCTGACAGAACCCCCACTGCGTGTGTGTGTGTTTGTTCCCTATCTGGGAGAGCAGCGGCGTGCTCACCCATCTCTTGGAATCTCTTTTCGCCCCGCGTCCTGGGGGGGGAGAAAAGGGCAATCCCTTTGGCCCCAACCCTCTAGGGAAAGGAAAAACCTGTTGGGGTCCCATGCAGCCGCCGGAGACGCCCAACACATATGTGCAATTAAAAATAAAAAAAATAGAGAACAAAATGTTTTCAATATAGATGAGACAATGTGATTTTACATATAATACTGTATAATAAAGTTTACTTGTCTCAATCTGTTTTTGCTTCTATAACAAAATACCATAAGCTGGGTAATTTATAAACAATAGAACTTTATTACTTATAATTCTGAAGGCTGGGTAGTCCAAGGTCAAGATGCTGGCTGGTGAGGTTCCGGTCTCTCTACTTTCAAGATGGTGCCTTGTTGTTCCTTCTTCTGAATGGGAGGAACACTGTAACTTCCATGATGGAAGGAACAGAAGAAAAAAGAGACCAAAGTTCCTCTGTCAAGCCCTTTATAATGGCTTCAATCCATTTGTGAGTGAAGATCTTATGACCTAAACACTTCCTAAAACAATCCACCTCTCAACACTATTGCATTGGGAATTAAGTTGTCAACACATGAATTTTGAGGGGAGCATTCAGATCATAGCGTCCCACTCTGGCCCCCCAAATTTATATTATTTTCATATTCAAAATACATTAATGCAATTTAAGTATCCTCAAATTTTTAACTCATTCATGTACAGACTGAAAAATCTAAAGTCCATAGTCTCACTTAAATCATATGTGGGTGACACTGAAGGCATGATTTATCCTGAGGCAAATTTCCCTTCAGCTGTCAACCTGTAAAATCGAACAAATTATGAGCTTCCAAAATACAATTGTGGGACAGGCTTAGGAAAGACATTCCCATTCCAAAAGGTAGACATAGGCAAGAAGAAAGAGGTAATAAGTCCCAAGCAAATTCAAAATACAACAGGGCAAACAACATCAAATCTTAGGTATTCAGAATAATCTTTGTTGAGTCCATATTGTGCCTTGTGGGAACATTGGGGCAGGGTTTGGACTACCAGGAGGAGCTCAGGCAGTCCTACCCCTATGGCTTTGCTGGGTGCAGCCCATGCTTCAGCTCTCATGCACTGAAGTCAGATGCCTACAGCTTTTCAGGATGGTGCTGCACACTGGTGGCTCTATAGTTCTGGGGTGTGGAGGTGGCCCACCCCCCACAGCTTCACTAGAAAGTGCTCTATGGGGACTCTCTGCAGTGGACCTGATCTCATGACTCTTCTGAGCACTGCCCTAGTGCCGACATTCTTCAGCATCCCTGCTCCTGCAACAGTTCTCTGCTGGGCCCTGAGGCTGAGTCATCCTTTGAAATCCAGGTGGAGAAAGCCATGCCTCCACATCTTATGAATTCTGTGCACTTGCAGAGTTAGCACCATGTGAATGCTGCCAATGGTTTGTCACTTGTGCCCTTTAGAGCAGTGGTCTGAGTCATCTGGGCTTACTTAATCCACAACTAGGATGGCACTGAACCAGAATGTGGGAATCGGAGATTTGAGATGGCCCTGGCCATTCCGTCTTGAGATTACATAGATGCCCTGGGTCCCTCCATTGAAACTGTTCTGCCCTGAAGGCCCTAGAACATTCCTCGATGCCCTGGGCCTGTGATGGCAGTGGCAGCCTCAAAGATCTTCAAAATGCCCTTATAGTCACTCTTCCATTGTTTCAATGGATAGCATCTGGCTTCCTTCTATTCACACTAATTTTCTTATCAAATGTTCACTTGGCTACACCCTTCGCATTCTCTCCCAAACATTTTTATTCTTTAATTGACCAGGATGAGAATTTTCCAAATCTTTGTGTTCTACTTGCCTTTTAATCATAAATTCTATCTTTAATTCATTTCTCTTTTCTCAGTTTACTATAAGAAATCAAGAGAAGCCATGCAACACCCTCACAATTTGCCACTTAGAGATTTATTCCACCAAATATCCTAGTTCATCACTTTTAAGTTCTGCCTTCCATGAAGTCCTAGGGCATGAGCACAATTCAGCTAAGTGCTTTGCTATTTTATAACAAGGACAGCCTTTCCTCCAGTTTCCAGTACGTTGTTCCTCATTTCCATGTAAGACTTCATCAGAATAGTCTCCACTGTTCATATTTTTTACCAACATTTTATTTATGACCACTTAAATAATTTCTTAGAGTAGGACTTTTTTTTACAGCTCCTCTCTTATAAACCCTCACCAGAATCGCCCTTAATGCTTCATTCATGGCAAGATAGGTTTTTTCCTAGTATTCATTTCAAAACTATTCTAGCCTCTAATCATTACCCAGTATGAAAAAAGCTTCCACATTTTTACTCTTGTTATAGCAACACTTCACTTTGGTATCGATTTCTGTCTCAGTCTGTTAGTGCTACTATAACAAAATACCTGAGACTGGGTAATACATAAAAAACGAAAATTTATTTTCTCACAGTTCTGGAGGCTGGGAAGTTGAAGATCAAGATGCTAGAAGGTTTGGTTGTCTGGTGAGAGCTGCTCTCTGCTTCCAAGATGGTGTCTTACTTCTGCATTCTATAGAGGGGAACATGCTGTGTCCTCACGTGACAGAAGAGCTGAAAGGGGAGAAAAAGGGACCAAACTCCTCTGTCAAGCTCTTTTATAATGACATTAATCCATTCATGAATGCTCCTTCAAAAGACCCCACCTCCCAACACTGTTGCATTGGGAATTAAGTTTCTAACATGAATTTTGGGGAACACACTGGAACACACTATCATTAAAAAGAAAAAAAAAAACCCCAAAAGATGTAGAGTGGATCTAATAAGATGCCTCTTTAGACCAATTCTGAGCTACTTAATACAAGTTCTATTGTCATT